CGGCACGAGCTCGACCTTCGCGCCCGTGTTTGCCATGTTGCGGAAGATGAGAAATCAGATTTGTAATGCTGGTAGCCGTTCCGCACAGAAATGCCGGAGGTTTGGTCTTTTGTTGTTGTCCCGCAGGAGCTGTGTACCGCTTTGGCAAAATTGCGCTTGAGATCTCCCGCTCTGTGGGTGGTCGGGACTTGGTAGTTGTTTGTGTCGTTGATTGCCCGCGGCCAATCCCCGAAGCAAAAAGGAAAAGAAGGGAGAAAACGTTTCTGCGTCAAGCTCTAGGCAGAATGTTAGAGCCTGAACACACGAGAACGAACGGAGAAAGGTGAGACCACTGAAAGGTCGAGAAGGTTCAAAGTTCTCAATGATTCAAGTCCTGAGTTCACTGCCTAGAGTCTGTGAAATCCGTACCAAAGTGTTGAAAGGTTCAAGTGAGGATCTTGCTCACGACGAGCTGAAGACGACGAGACACAAAGACGTGAGGATCGAGATCGAAGAGAACATCGAGCGTACTGACACAACATACGTCGTTTATTATTAAAGAAACTTCTGCTACCAGGATGGCACTGCGATTCTGCATGTGCCTTCTGCACCCTCCGCTACCCCTTTGCAGTTGCTGGACATGTTCCTCATAGCATGCTGAATTTTGAAAACTTGCAAAACCGGCAAAAAAGGCGAAAAACAAAAGTAAAAACGAATAAAAAGCTTTTCAGCATGGCATCACCTCTTGACACTCGCCTAGCGGAGGGGTGGCGGAGGGCAAGTTGCAGTCGATTAGATCCAGAATTAGCTGCGGATAGTATGAAAAGTGTAAAGTGCTTACTTTTTGACAACAGATGGCATTTATTATTCAACTTCTGTAACCCCGACGGCGCTGCGATTCTGCATGTGCAGTTTACACCCTCCGCTACCCCTCCGCAGTTGCTGGGCATGTTCCTCACAGCATGCTGAATTTTGAAAACTTGCAATACCGACAAAAAAAGCGGAAAACAACAGTAAAAACGAATAGAAAGCTTTTCAGCATGGTATCACCTCTTGACACTCGCCTAGCGGAGGGGTGGCGGAGGGCAAGTTGCAGTCGATTACACCCAGAATTAGCTGCGGATAGTATGAAAATTGTAAAGTGCATACTTTTTGAAAACAGATGGCATTTATTATTGAACTTCTGTTACCCGGACGGAACTGCGATTCTGCATGTGCCGTTTACACCCTCCGCTACCCCTCCGCAGTTGTTGGGCATTTGCCTCATGGCAGGACTACGACTAATCTACAAAAACTGAAAAAATAAGAATACAATACGCATATACAATCCATTTCCAACATAGTTCATCACCGTAATCCATTTCCAACAAGTATGCAGGAGGAAGATGGACATGATTATGTGCTCCTGCACAGTCCTACTTATTCTCAAAATACTACCTGCTCCGATAGCGTTTAATTGCGATGAGATCAACTACGTCAAGGTCAATGTCAGTGAGTCTGGTGATCCATTTCCAACATAGTGCACCACCGGCTCGCAGTTTATGACGTCATTGAAATTACACACCTTGGCATGCAGAAATGGGACTAATGCGAAGCTCTCAAGATGAACACTAATTCATAAAAGTCAAAATTGAAAGCCCTTTTTTCCTTATCATCGCCCAGACTCCTGATCTTGCCTGTGAAAATCATCTGCTTCTTTTCACGAAATGCAATTAGAATCGCTTCATGAAAAAGCTATATCGTATGTAGTCGTTTTGTCGGATCGCCTCTCGTCGTCGTGGCATCGTCTCAGCACCACTCTCTGCGTTTTGATAAAAGAATCGTTTTATTTCAACATCGCTTCAGGCACGGGCAGTTCGTTGTGGTTGCGGTATATAATTGGCGACCATTGTTTCAGTACGTAGACATAGCCCTAGATTTAATTCCTCCATGAGATGACTGCCTTTGACAGCCGGCAACGTTTCTGGACTTTACTGTATAATGAGTAGCACGACTTGGAAGCTCTTTTGTAGTCACTCAACATTGTTTTATGGATACACGGGTGGATGAGAATCTAGAAAAAATGAACCGCTTTCACTCTCCACCGTTTCATTTTTCCTGATATGATAAAAGTAGACGCCGGACGAGCAGAAAAAATTTTGTAAGACACTCAGCATTCACCCCACCGGTTTCAGTTTCAGCACGGAATTTCAAAGATATTCTATAATTCTGCGTCGACTTTTCATCTTTAGAAAGAAGTTTAATATTTGTACAATTGAACCAAAACAAAGACAGCACGCATGGAGCAGTTGTATCTACCTTCAATTCGAGAAGAGGCCAACACCAAACCCGCGCGCAGCACAAGCCTGTTGCTCATCTGACGGCGTTTTTACAATCTCGTAGTCGCGGGTGGAGAAGATCCGAAGGGCGCGAGAACAGGCTGAAAGACGCATTCGGGACGAGCAGTCCTCTTCACGAGGATCGGATTTTTGCGCATGCAGTTGTAGTATCTCATCCGCCGCCCCGAAAAGGGTTTGTGAGTATTTCTTTCGACGAGTAAAAGTTGTATAATAACTAACGGCAGAACATCGACATCGACCAACGGCGCAACACCCCTTTCTTTTTACCTAACAGCCAGTGACTCTTCCTTCTGACTGTGGCGCAACCTGGACCCTATGAGCGACCAGCGCAACCACCATTTCAACGGCAATCCTCCACGACCCGCGATTCCAACTGACCAACGTAATTTTACACCTCACCACCCCGATCCGCACGGTGCCAGACAGCCATGTGGAGCTACTTCTAACGCCGGCCGCGACTTAGCAGTGCCGGGTAACACGAATAGACGCTTCGAAAATAACCATGCGCGCTTCGTCCAAGAAGAGCATGACGTACCCAGCTATCCTTTACCCGTCGCCCCAGTTCCCACACAAGCAACGTCGGCGTTGCATACTGCGACCACATTCGATAATTTCGAGCCGAAAGTTTGTCATGCACAGGCCGCAAATGCTGGAGCCGGCGTGGGACAACATCCACCGGGAGAAGGTGTTCGAGAAGAGGCAGCGTATGAGCGGCAAGCGGCACGAGATGTTGATGTTGGGCAACGTGACCCTCGCGCCCATGAACGAAATAACGCGACGTCGCACGACGGCACAGTGAACACCACTCTGTCCTCCGCCGGTAATTATGGAAGCTCGTACTACCAGGAGCAAAACGACGCCAGGAGGCCAGCAGCGACGAGTACGATTGAGGATGATGTGATAATAAGAAGCGACGTAGGTGGTGGAGCTCCTCCTGCGCGGCGCCCTGGCCGCGGCCAAGTGGAAATCCGGCCTGCGGCGAGACGAGATGACCAATTTTTATCCTACGATCCGAACAGAGAGACCGAGAGCTCTTATTCCGTGGCTGCTCCCAGGGTCAGACATGATGTTGAAGACCATGCGGGCCTCACTGATGCCTATCGCGACAACAAGCACAAGAACTCCCGCACAGCCACGGGGCGGCTGGAAAACAGAGAAACCAGTTTCGAAAGCAATGCCGACTGCGAAAACGGTGACACACAGCCCGCCGCACCGCAGGAGCGACACCAAAATGCTGGCCAGAACGACCAGCAGCCTCAAGGACTGCAAGACTTCGTCTACCAGGCGGATTTGCCAAAGGTGACTGTGCTTGGCGTATCAAACGGTAAGAACGAGCTACAGCGAAATGTGGAGTCAGTGCTTCCCCAGAATCAAGAAGAGGCTCAGCCTGTAGCTGAAGGGGAGAATTATGGACGTCGCGGCTTTCATATCAGAAATCCTCGTGACACCACCAGCTCTGGAGGGTACAGCCACGACATCAAGGCCGACAACCGCAACAACGCACTAGTAGCCCCGGAGGACTCTGCGCCGATAGCTCCCAGACGCGCGGAACAAAAGGTCGAGACCTCTCTCGCGCCTGATGGCATCCTCCGCGGTGTTTCCGATCGCCGTTCTTATGCTGAAGTTCCTGGCGATGCGAGTCCTGCGAACAACATAAATGCGCAGAACCAAGAACATGCGCCCGAGCCTGTAGTTTCTACCTCCGCGGCCTGCAGCACGATCCCCGTCTACGGGCGCCACAGCGCCCCTTTTCTCAATTCACCGAGCGACCTACCGGAGTATTTCAACGACGAGGACTGCCGGACTTCGTACCGGGAAAACGACTCGCTACTCTCCACGGCTGCGTTCATCCAGCGGAAAAACATCGCTGTGACCGCCACCGCCCGCGTTGGCCCCGGCATGGTCATCTGCATGGGCGAACAGGTGGTGGACAACCACCACGTGGACTTCAACAAGCCGACTTTATTGCTCGAAGTTGTGAAGCGGATCGGGAAGGGCGGGTCGGCGGAGGTGTTCGAGTGCGTGGATTTGCGAACTTGTGTCGTAGATGGAGGATCGACTACTACGACCTCGGGAAGTCGTGGCACCTATAACTACAACCATGACGGCGCGTCGCGAAGTGGACAGCACAATGGAACAAGCAGCAGTGCAAGTCGAACCAAGGAGCAAGCTTGTCCGTTACCCGCTACCCGCTACGCACTCAAAGTCGTTTATGCTCGGGACGCGAGGCAAATGCGCTCCTTCGCCATGGAGGTAAATTGGCTGCGGGCTTTGCGGGACAAAAATCGGGCAGCGAATGCCGGAACTACCCCGAATGGTAAACACAACGCGGACGAGCTGCGGGTAGTGAAGATGATCGGCGAGGCGAAATTTTTTCCAAAAGATTTGGTGATCCACATTTTGCTGGAATTCGCGGACTGTGGTATGGGATGGAGAGGGTTGTGTTGGTTTGTTTGAAAGAGATAGTTTCTCTGATTCTATAAACCGCGATTAAGAAGATGGCATGCATGATGCGCGCGGCAAGAAGCAGGAGCTTGTGCAGATTTATTGACTCGTAGGAGTCGTGCAGCCCCAGCCGCAAGCGCATGTAATTTGTCATTGCTATAATTTTTGCATGTACAACCACATGATGAGCACGACGAAATGTTGTCTCAATTGGAAGAACTGGTTCAACAACCAAAGCACCTCCTTTCCCCTCCGATACCCAATCTGCACTCCTTTCTTCGGAAAAACTACGAAGTCTTCTCTATCTACGATATTCGCAATCTCTGGCGCGACATGGTCGCTGGCGTCGCGGCCATCCACAGTCTCGGTTTGATCCACTTTGACCTGAAGCCCGCGAATTTCCTCATCGTGGACAACATCGTGAAGGTCTCTGACTTCGGCCTCGCGCGGGGGATCAACAAGGATGAGGGTATAACCCACGTTTCCCGCGACCGCCAGTGCGGCCCGCCGCGGTACATGCCGCCGGAGGCATTTTACCAACCGGACGAGGGGTCGGCGAGTTTGAAGATGCGCCCGGCGGCTGATGTTTGGGCCTTGGGGATCATCCTATACCAGTTGCTATACGGGCGGGCGCCGTACGAGCATTTAGAGGGCTGCGGGATGCGCGCGCAGTTCGCCGTGGCGGACTCCAGGGTCCGGATTCTGTATTCGAGGTCCCGCAGGTGGGAAGAGCAGGACGCGGCGCTCTTCGGCCATCTGGTATCATTGCTGCAGGTCACGCTGCGGTGGCGGTGGGAAAGGCGGTGGGACGCGCAGACGGTGCTGAAGTATTTGGAGACGCCGGGAGATAATCTTCAGAATGGTTTTGCGAGTTTGCAGCCAGGCGAAGTAGGTGGAGGAACCGGCAAGAAAAGAAATCAGAAGCTGCTGCTGAAAACACCGAAAAACCTGGTCAACGAGGAAGACATGAAAGGAAAGACGACGAAATGGAAGGGCCGTCGGCTGTCGGACATTTACGAAGAGGAATACATCGATCAGACGGCGTTTTTACCGCTTTTGGCGAAACAAGAGAGCTACTCCTACAACTCGACGACTCCTCTCGGCACTACAACCGGTGGTGACGAAGCGAAGCTACTGGCACAAGGACAGGACAGCGTCGCGCAGGATAAAAATCACGGCGGCATTGCGGATCAAAAAGAGAAAGTCGCCGGGAAGTCGGCTAGCGAAGGAACGAAAATTATGAAAATCGGTATTATTAACCGAGATTGTGCTGGAAACGAACCGCCAGAAGAGCACGAGCCAGAGCTGGTGTCATCCTCTGAGGAGGAGATGGATGAGATAAATGCTCAGGAACCTTCTGAAAGGGAAGGAGCCGATAATTCCTCTCTGTCACATCAGCAGCAGCAGAAGGTGGAAGAAGACACAGAAGGAGACAGTGCTCCTGCTTCCAGGAACAAAACTGCATATTTGGCATCTGCGACACGGACTTTCGACGAGGAAGCGCAAAGAGACACGACGAGGACGACGCCAAGTTTATTTACCCGTGAAGATGCTGATGACCACGACGACCGTTCGCAAGACAAATTTCATCCTCTGATAAAGGATCCCTCCTCATCCTCAACATCCTCCGCATCCACCCCCTGTGGCGCTTTTTTGGCCTCCTCGCTCTCAACCGTCATCGTCACCATCATCGCCGTTTGTCTTCTCGCTGGCGCCACGGGCTTGGCGGTGCATATGGGCAACGTTAGCGAGGGGAACAAACAAAAAGCAGAGCTGGGATCGGGGGACGAGTATCCGTTTGGCGGCTTCGGCGGCGGGCACAAGCCGAATATTTTGGTCCCGACACGAATCTTCAACCGGGATGGAGGACGCGGTGGCGGTGGCGGTGGTGATCCGCATGGAGGAAACCCTAGTGGCCCACCAACAGCCCCCGGCAATGATGGTCCTCAGGGAGGTGGGCACGCAGACACAACAGCTCCACCTCCGCAGCACCAACCGCTTTCTCCTCCTACTCTGAGCTCGCCCTCGTCAGTGCTCTCGAACTTGTTCCCCCCAGGACCTGTTTATGGACCGGAGTTTCTGGCGCCGGCGAAACCAAAGGCGAAACCTGTTGCTCCGACTCCTGGTGGTGCAGCAGTACCTGCTGGAGTACCGGCGCCAGCACCGGCTGTTTCCTCTTCCGCTGCGCAGGGTCCTGCTCCTGCCTCCGCTGGTACGCCAGCAGTGGTTGTTCCTGCTGCCGTGGCGCCGGCTCAGCCGGCAGCTCCTCTAACACCGAGTGCAACCAATCCTTCATCAGGTACAGCTGCAACGGTCCTCCCGGACGCTCAAGCAGGTCAAGCAACGCCTGGAGCTGACCCAGCATCGGCTGTCCCGTCTGGTGCGTCATCATCTCCTGTGGGAGGTGCCGGCACAGATGACGCAAGTGCCCCCACAGAGCACGAAACGACAAGCAGTGACGCAAACCAGTCGGCACGGCAAACGGCTGGAGGCAGCGAACACGAAGGTGCGCAGACTGATGAAGCTTCTCGTCAGGCGCATCAAGAGAACAGCCCAGCAGCTGCCAGCTCAGCTACACAGGTGGAGGAACAGCAAAGGGAACTATCTTCGCGAACTGAAACGCAGGCAGGTGCTGGCAATCCTGAACAACCCTCCTCCACTGGAGGTGCTATCGGTTTGGGAAGTGCTGGTGCTGACCCGTCTGCAGCAGGGAGTACTACGGGCAGTAGCGTCAGCAATCCCGGTCATTCCGCTTCAGCGTCGAATCTGAGCCATGTTGACGGCGGTGTGGATCAGCTTGCTCGGGCTCCTGCTTCAGACACAGTGAACGGGGATCAAAACCAGCCGGAACAGCATCAAGGTCGCGAAGGCAGTTTATCCTCCGCTAGTGCCAGTGCGACGAGTTCGCCCCGTCCGCCCCAGGATGGTGGCAGCAGCGATGGTGCCGAACCTGCAGCGCAAGGGGGAACTGGTGTTGGAGCAAGCGGCTCAGCATCACAAAGTGGCGTATTTGAAAGGGCACTCAGTGGTCGAGGCACCCCGGAGCATAGTGCGACACCGCGCTCACGAAGTCTAAGTCCACCAAGGTCGTATCACACTGCGACTCCCGAAAGACGCGGTGGACCATCAGATTTTCCATCAGGAGGAGCTGCTGGCGCTGCAGCCCCGACCGGCGGAAACCCGCGGCTGCCAGGTGCGGCACCAGCGCAGGACGCCGGCAGTGGCGGAAAAGCTACATTTGAGAGGAGCGGCACTCCAAATCCCGGAAGTGCCGCTTCTGGTGGAGGCAGCTCTAGCGCTTCATCCTCATCTTCCATTGTCGTTATTCCTGGCGCAGCAACAGACAGTGGAAGTCCAGCGATACGCCCTCCGCCAACGAGGCTAGCCGAGTTGGAAGTGGCGTCGCTGGAGGAGCGGCAAACGGAGACGGTGAGCTGTGAGGACCTGTTTGTGGAATTTCTCGAAGAGAAGCTGCAAACTGTGAATGACGGAGCGATGGCGGGATACAAACCGAAGGACTTCTGGAACGCTGCTGTAGATCAAGGTCATATGCAGAGAAACAGAAGAGCGCTTGTCGCACTCCCATCCGCGTCAAATGCTTTAGCATGATGAGTTCATCATTTCCATCGTGAACGAACGCTCAACCTGTATTCGTAACGCAGTAGCGTATTCGCGGTCGCACAACAACCTGACGTGAGTTTTTTTCTATTGTCGTGCGGCTGGCTTTCATAGTTGTTCTGTAGCAGGATGAATCTGAGGCTACGAAAAAGCCCATTTCATGATTTTGGTGCGGCGGCGACTGTTTCTCCGCATAGGCGAGGATCTTTTGGGGACGACTAATGAGACACTCGCCAACATTTTGCCGCCGTTGGGTGCACTTGATGGACACACATGGAAGGTATCTTGATTATCGATAGATATATTGACAAGTAAAGAACGTGCTGCGTTTTTGCCGTGCTCAGCAGTTTACCGTCGTGTTTAATGTTGTATAGGGTCGTGCACACGCAGGATCGTGTCTTGAGTACTTTCTGCTGACCATGAAGTTATGAACGACGAAGACAGCAAGCCTCTTCCAGATGTATGCCTGAAGTGAAACTCGAATCAACGTCGGAAAAACGACTTGATTTACAGCTTTACGAATACACAGATCTCAACGATTATGGCGCTGATGCCGTACTGCTATGCCGATATTGCGACTGTCCGAATCATGTACGGAAGACTTCTAAAACCAGCGATGCAGGACTATAGCTCAGAGCGGTTGAACACGGGATGCGCACGGGGCGATAAGGGGTTCTTTACTGCGGTATGGGACTTTTTTCACGAGCCTCTCAGAGCACCTCCCACTGAAGCTGTGGCCAATGCTCTGGAAGGCATTGGTACCGAGCCAATCCAGCGGCCGGGCGATAAAGTGGTGGTTTGGGACGATCCAGCCATCTTCAGAAATGCTGCCTACAGCGCCGAATCGGATAGTATGGAGCGCAAGCAAGGCGAGGGCGACCTGGTCCAGTCTTGAGTTAAGATACAAGCTTTCCATGTTGAACGTCAACGTCATGATCAGCATTACTATAACTGAGAATCCCTGTGGGGGGGTAGAAGCGCAAATGTAGTAACGCACACAAAAAAGAAAGCAAGCGTAGCTTCATGAGACTAAAATTCTTGGCATTCATGTTTGGTCATTGATTCAAGTGCGCCAGCACTTAAGATCTCTGCAACTCTCGACAAAGTCATCATACGCCTTACCTGCCCATCGCGATAGAGGACCCGTTAGCCCGGCAGTCACGACAGCAGCGATGCCGCATTGGTATGGTTGCGGAGTACCTGTTTCAGGCCTCAACTGTGGTTTCCTGCTACTCTGCGATCTGGTTTCGCATTCCCTACGGTATGTGTACAATTTGTTGCTTCTTCTCCTCAACGCACGAAATTTGTCTTGATTTATGAGACTTTGCCATGAACAATGACACAGACATGACAGTGATTTCGCTCCTTTGATATTTTCGATGTGTATTCCTATTTTCCAAATAAACGACGAACAGGCTATTGCCTGAATACGAGACCAAAATCGCAGCTTCAGCAAAATTGGCCAGAGCGCGTTCTTGCTGAGGACATTCGCACACCCGAGGATGAATCACCGATACCGCCGGACTGGCATCACAAATTTCAACTCGACTTTTACCGACGTGCAGATTTTTGGCGCGCGCGGTCAAATGGTATTGGGCCGGAGTGGAGTTATCGCCACTTTCGATGGAAGTGGTTAATAAATCAGTGGTTCGCAATACCAGGATCGCGAAACGGGCTCGACAGATTGATTTTCCACTCGGTGAGTACGGATCAGGTTTCGGAAAGCGACTCTCCCGTCCGCGACCTCTACCATGATTTTCACCCCAGAGAACTCAGCAAGGAGCTGCGTGAAACTTTTGAACAACAATTACCAATAGAGCCAATCACCGTCAACGTCAGGGAGATTGAGGTGTCATCTGACCCCGATTCTTCGGATGATGAACCGACGCAGGGCGCAGCGCAGGATGCCGGCAGTACCACCTCCAAGGCTCCCAAAACTGCGCGAGTGGAGGGTTCCGGTGAAGGCAGTTCTAGCTCCTCCTCCTCGCGCATTTTCGCGCTTCCCAGAGAAGTGGAGACAGATATAAGTACAGCATTACCGCTCCCGCCACTTACGATGCCAGCCGAGATAGAGGTGGCGTCGCTGGAGGAGCGGCAGGCGAACAAAGTGAGCTGCGAGGACCTATTTGTGGAATTTCTCGAGGAACAGTTGGCAAAGATTCCAAGCATCAAAGGGTTCATATGAATGGAAAAATAACTGTAACTCCCTCTCTGGTCGTGTACCTCTCGCCCTTGAAAGGTAGCAAAATATTACGCTGAACACCAATTTCGATGATGCTCAATATACGAAAGGCATGAGAGATCATGTATGTGGTAGTGGTACTCAAGCTAACCCAAAACTGTAGGATTTCGTAGGCCTACTAGCAATTTAATCATCTTCACGCCGTGGGGTTGTGCGCTACAAGCACGAATCGAATGCGTCCCCCGCAGCGCGAGAGGTAGACGGAAGTCAGGGTGGAAATCTTGAACTTGATATCGTAAACCAAAGGATTTCTGGAACGCGGATGTTGACCACGGCCGGGACTATTTGCAAGAGGCAAACGCATTTTTCGAAGAATATGAAGGACCTAGTGACGTGGTAGACTCCGATTCGGAAGATGAAGAGGACGAGCCAGAAACCACTCAGGGCGGGAGGTTGGTACTTGGTGGAGTAGACCTCCGCGATTATCTTGTCCCGAAGCACGACTCGTTTCCACGGGATAAATGGACGGTAATTGGTCTTCGCAGCAACTTCTTGATTTGATATTTATTGGCTCTCGGAATTTTGAGCTATTGAGGTTGATTTTGGAAAAGAATGGCAACTTACCTCTGTTCATCACAACAGGTTCGAACGATATTGGCTATGATGCCATTCTGCCACGTGGACATCGGGGCGAAACCACTGAAAGACCTCGTGCAGCAATACAACTACAGTCACTGGCCCAGCGCCGAGTACATAACTTACAGCCCCGCGCGACTGGAAGCCGGGTGCGCGTCGCAGGACAAAGACTTCTTCGCTGAAGTTTGGAACTTTCTGCACGAACACGTCAGGCACTCCCCCTCCCCAACACCAGAAGCTTCTCGGGAGAGCAACTCGGACCTGAGCCGAAGCGTAATTGTCTGGGACGATCCCTCGACTTTTGAGCCTTCTTCCAATAAACATAGCACGGCTCGTACCGCCGCCAGCTCGTCTGCCTCAAGCGCGGGATATGGAGGCGCAGATGCTCAGGAGACGACGTCTCTCGCGTTGCGAGAGCAGCGCTGCCGAATCGCAATGACTACGGAGTTTCTTTTTCAAGCTACACGCGAGGTGCGATTTGCGCGCGCATGGAGATTCTCAACCTTCTATGGTACTCACATGTTTCGTTTGACGTTCAAACATGCAACCTGTTGTCCAATCTGAAATGGTTTTTTGAAATATCTCTTCGACCGCAGCGACAGACTTCGCTTCATCCCTTCGCGCACCCGATGTTGGTTCAGGCTTTTCAACATTAACCTAAGTACCCAAATTGGTGTGATAGAATGAGATTCTGACCGATATAACCAACTCACGCCAGGTTACTGCTTGAACACCACAAAAAAGGAAGACTTGCAGCAGAAATGGCATCCTGCAAAGAGACACCACTGGCCTGAGGAGCTCGAATCTCGCCAGCCAGATCTGTCCGCAGATTCCTCACCCGTCCCGATGACCTGGCACGCCGACTTCCAACGCGAATTTCGCAAGCGCGCCAGATTTTGGCGTGCAAATTCGACCGGGCACGGGGCCGTTTGGAGTTATCGCCATTTTCGTTATATCTGGCTAAAGGCGCGTCGGATGAAAAATCGCTTGCTCACGAAGCCTACCGAGCTGAACTTTCACCATCTTCTCGCTGAGACGCCTGACGTAGTTGACATCTACAGAAACTTTGATCCGAGGAGCGTCTATACCTCGTTTCGTCCGATATACTGGCTGGACAAGGAAAAAGATCAACTGTCGCGCCCGAGCATACCTGACATTCCGTAAACACCGAAACTCGCGACGCAGTCACCACCGACTGGGCCGTCAGCTGCAAGATAACTGGCATCGTTGCCGGAGGCGTACACGTTTCCTTCACGGTGTACGAATGTCCATGTCGTGGTCGCAGAATAAATAGCAAAGCGACTCGGTCTTTTCTCTGGCGTGACTCAGATTGAAGTTTTGCTAAATGCAAAGGCAACGACGGCGACCAGCAGTGCTGCTCTATTCTTTGTCGCGTCACTGCTCCTAACTGTCCAGTGTGTGCATGTTACGTTTCTTAGCGACACACGCGTACACGCGGCAAAAAATGAACTGTATTTATTGTTGTTCTGTGCTTCACCTGCCGCTTTGAAAACAATTTGAAATTGGACACGAAAGTAGCTGCTGGTTTGTTCCGTTCCTAACTTATGTATCAGTATCTATATTTACTTGGAGCCGTTCTTGGTACGCACAGAGACAGAAGATCAGCTCTCAAAAGATCGCAAGTGAGAGCTTTAGCTGGGTCATACACGATTAAGTAGATACAAAGCTCACAGAATGTTTCGAAAGACACTGTAGCTCTGGCTGTACTGCCGCTCCTACAGAACTGAGGTTTTAGTTAGAAGACAAGAACGAACAAGAAGTCATTCTAGTTTCGTCCGATATAGATCCACGAAAGAGAACGGATGGAAAGTGGCTGTACAAAACATGACCTTGAAGCGATCAAGATACAAGCATTCATAATGAAGCAAAAAGGAGTTCAACAAGCCTCAATTGTTGCATGTAAAAGGTCACAAGCCTTACAATCTGCGGGTTTTTTTTACACTCCCCGCGCAAAACGAGCGGAATTTTTTAAGCCTGCAAAAGTGTTTTTTGTCGATGTTGAAAAGAAGACTGCAGTCTGTAAATTGTTCTGGCTGTCCTGAAACGGCTCTTTCGACCACCGCCTAAAAAATCAACGCACGCGGACCGGCAGAAGTGGCGGCCTTGTGGGGCGCCCGCCGGCCGCGTTAGCTTCTGGCGATTTCAAGCGCCCAAAAACTGGAGCCGAAAAAATGGCGACAGGAAAAACGCAGCGGGCCAGCATGGTATAAGGTTAATGTTTGCCAAAAAAGTGGTCACCAAAATCAGCCATTTGTAGAGCAGGAAGCCGACCAAAAGTAGCGTTGGCTTCTTTAGCGAAGGAAGAAAAAAACCAAAGACCGCCGAATGGCCGAAACCAGTCCGCATGCTATCGGCCCGACTGGAGGCGCCCGAGGGGCCCGGGTGGGGCCATAGCAGGCGGGGGAGGCCGTCTGTTTTCAATGACAAAACGTTGCCGCACTGCGCGCCCCGCGCGCTGAAAACTGGAAGCGCCCTCTCATACTCTGGGCCGAATTGTGGGCTTCCAATCAGCAGCCTCTGGTAAGGGCCCAGGCGGGGCGACAGCATGCGGGAGGAGTTTTTCCTCTTGAATGGCAGGAGGCTGCCGCCTTTCGCCGAAAATTGCAAGCCAGTCCGAATGCTATTGGCCCGGATTGGTTTGTCTAAGGTGCCAGCTCCGGCGCGGGCCATGGTGGGCCGCGGGGTAGGTTCGCGTTTTTGAAAGCCGTGGAACCACGACTTTTGCCCATCCCGGAAAATCGGCGGCACCTTGCTAGCTACCCCCACCACCACGGCTGCTATTTTTAGTGTCAGTCGGCTCGGCGGTGGAAGTGGATATGGGCAAGGTCAGCAGGAAGTGCTCGATCAAAATAGATGACGGCTGGACCCGTTTCAGCATTGGCAAGAGAGAAGAAATTTTGAAGTCGTAGGACGTCTTATTGATTCTTTATTTGCTTTCCGCAGGCAGCATATGGCTCGAGACATTATGCGCTATATTTTTTTCGATGTTGTATTATGGCGAATATAGGTACTCATATAGATTTTTCGTAACGTTAAACTCAATATGGAAAAAAATTCCCTGATACGCATGGGACAGATGCTGCTCCAAAGCTTTCTTCTTTGCTTTCGGCATGTTTCTCACGGACCTCTTTTATCAATCTTTTGCGCCGCGAAATCACTAAAACCAGAAGCAGTGGTCGTCGGGTGGCAATGATGGATTAACCTAGTTTTGATTTTTGTATGATTTGACACTGCAATCGGGATGATGCTGTTTTTGCACGCCCTTTTTTTGTGTTAATGTTGTTGACCTCGAAGAAATCAGATAGAAGCTCCCCTTGAACCGGAGGATAATACTGCAGAATAATCCAGTGAACGAGTTTCACGATGCAAGTCTCCCAGAGAAATCCGGCAGCCCCGTCTACGCTAAGACGGAACGTTCTAGGAAGATGCTTGTTTCCTCGCTTAAGAAACATGCTCCTCTTGTACTCGAGCTGCTTCGCTGCAAGAGCGGTTGATCAACGCGGGAAAAGGAACACTTTGCAGCAGGAACCGCACGTCCCGCCGGCGAAGCCCCACTTTCTAGGCGATTTAAGTGCGACAGAACCGGGTATCATTTTGGCAGCAAGTCGGACACAGTCTCTCAACCAAAGTGACGGCATCTTGAGTTTTTTGAATGCAGCCGATGCTGCTGTATTTCTTCAGAGCAGCAGGTCGCACTCCCAGAAAGATCCTTCTGGCGCTGGTGCGAAACTAGCGACTGCGGTGCGCGAACAGCACGACAAGGATACTGCGCTCGCAAGACGCACCGAAAACTGCGAGGAGCTATTTCTCGAAGTTCTGCGCGAAAAGGTTGGTGACAAAAGACCGGCAGATTACTGGAATGCGGAAATAGATGGTGGATGCGATTACGTGAAATATTTTCAGAGCCAAGTGCAAAGAAAGCCTGTACAGACTGGGGACCAGCAGCAGCTGCCGCCATCCAAAATGGAATGGAGCGTACTTCATATACGTTTTTGAATCTATGACTTCGCATACGCTAGTACCCGTTCTTCTTCCAGACATCTTGATCAGTAGACGTAGAAACAAGAATGGCTTTGCGAGTGACTCTGTTTCATCAATGGGCAATGCTAATTCTTGCGGTCTGTTTTATCAAAGTCTGTCTCTGTCATTCTTTTCTACAGGTCCTCTTTCTGATGGCGATGGCAGTAAAAACATGCGACCCTCCGTCAGAAGTTGCGGAGAGCATGCTGCCGAATTATCATCCATGGGGATACGCTGATATATACCGCCCGGAAACTTTGCGTCGCGGGTGTCAGGAGAGCGATCGGGCATTCTTTCGTGAGGTTCTGAACTTTTTCCACGAGGATGCGCCCGCTAAGGGTGCATGCAGGTATCGGAAAAGTTCGTCGTGCAAACAAGTCACGAGCAGGCGACTGGTGGTGTGGAACCCACCCGGTACTGTTTTGACAAAGGGGCGGATATCTGGATGGGGTCGACTGCAGCCAAAAAGCATCGCGACGAGCAGACATTACGAAAAATTTGACGGTAGATGCCGTCTAGCGATGGCAACGGAGTTGTTGTTTCAGAAGCATAGCAAAATCTACGGGAGCCGCGCACAATATCACGCCAAGCACGGTACCAAATTTTTGTGAACTTGATGCTGCGGTAAGTGTAGCTCAATTTTTCTTGGAGACGTACAGAGTTTTTGTCCTCGACGAGGCGGATGATGTTTGATGATTTTGAAAAACGCTAACTTGGGCTCGTACTCCACCTTTCATCAGGTTACTGTCTGAACCACGAGTACATATTCGACGCGCTGCCAGGCGATATCGAGTCGTATTATAACTTTGAAGATCCGATTGACAGAAATTGGCATCCGCTATTTCGTCGAATCTACCACAAGGTAATCACAGTACCTCCTCGGCTGCTTAGTCAGATGTATCCCATGAATGGTGCGGTTTGTGTGTCTGCGACTGCGTGATCTCCATCTTGCATACACAAATATAGGGAGCCGCGCGGGGAGAGCGTACTACAACCGGTCCCTATAATTGATTTGTCTTGCAGAATGCCAAGAACAAGAGCGCCGCGCATATCCTTTGGCAACCATTTTAGTTTCAAGCAATCGATAGCATTGCGTACTGATTAGAGCGATGGCGTGCAGTTTGGCCTTGAGAAAACACACCTGGAAATGCATTACGAAGCTGATGCTGTTACCGAGTGAAGTATTGTGTTTTCATGTTGATACACCGTTTCGGAAATTTGCCGACAAATGGCGCCGACAATCTGACGGCACCTCGCCGCTTTGGTCCTACAACCAGTTTCAATATGAGTGGAGGCGCGCACATGGAGAGCGTGACGGCAGTGCCGGATTCCCTGAAATGCCGTCTCCTGCGTGGTTAGCGAAAAAATTTCTGATCGCGAATGCAGCACGACCTACCCAAAAGCGGAACAGCCTCACGTCGTGAAGTGCAGCGAAAGCTCGATCATAGAATCGACATGATTGTTGGCGCACGTTTTCTGTGCGGCGCGCATATGCGGGTCCATTTTGCAAGAAGCGCTAGCACTTCTACATGCTCTTGTAGCTGCAGCCACGTTCCTGTTTCAACTTCGGACGAAACGACGCCGGTCTCTTTTCGGCAGAATTGCTGGGGGATATGATATGACCATACCTTCTTGGATTGGATGAGAGGTGGATGCGCTTCCGAGCGAATGCTCTGCTGTCTGCCCGTTGAAGCTAGCAGCGACCCTTGATTATTGTATACAAGATACTCCGCAAGATGTACTATTTTTACGATGTTTTTTTTCCAAAGGCGCATAGCAGTACTCGTTTTGATTGAATGATACATGATGTTTGATATTGTTGTAAGATGACTGAAGCCATTTCCGTGGCGTCCGCGTCGACGGAAAGGGGAAAGAAAAAACTGTGTTAGTGTAGGTGAAGCCATTTCCGTGGCGTCCGCGTCGACGGCGTCGTAACTCTAGACCGCACTCTTGACACAGCGATCAGACACGTGCTATTTCGAATTTCACTGTAATAAATATGTAGAATTTGTTTTTAACAAGATTTGAATTACTTCATGTTGATGGACAAGACAAAAGGCGAGGGTGCCACATAGATACGCACCGTCTCGAAGATGAGACACTACTTGTAAAATCCGAATCCCTTTTGTAAGTCCTTACCTCGAAGCCCAGAATCCAAATTGCGGCAGGGGCCGCTACTTCGAAGTAGTACAGTACGTAGCATTTTTGTCCCGTTTGAAATGCAATGGAAAGTTGCAGCACAGCTACCGGGAACTTTCGCGAATACTTTCAACATCGGTAACTGCATGTAGTACAAATGAAAGCTAACAGGTTCATGGAGAAGTAGTGTAGTGCAGCCGATTTCTTCGTGTCATCTGTTTTTACCGGAAGCGATCGGCAAGATCTGATGAAGCTAGCAGATGTCAGATCACAAATCACAAACGTGAGATGCCTGTCCAGGGCTGGTGTCCGTTCCGTGGAGTGGAAACGATAAATCACGGGACAGAATTCTGGCAACATGCACTGGAAAATGGAAATAAATACGACGATCTCGGACGGTCTTGGTGAAATGAATCAGTCAGAACAGGCTCCAACTCTCGCTTGATTCGGTTTTTCATTTTCTCTGAAGATCTCTCATGAAGAAAAAAAATTCAAAATGAAAGGTCATAGAATGAAAATATCGAAGGCAAATTGTTCATCGTCCTCTGATCGGATTGTATCCGCCGTCGTTCGCGGCTCAAAAATGAAAAGTTTTCCATGCAGAACCAAGGAAAAAAAAGATAAAGCAAGAATTAAATTTCATTGTCATTCACATCTGTGATAATGCAGTGTTAGATTCTCTTTATTTTTCTTTGTGTTGTGTAAAATCAAGGCCTTTTATGGTTAAGGTTCGTTATAACAAGTCGATATAGTAGTGAGTATCTATTATCAAGCAATCACGCAACCTAGGCACAGATATTTCGTATTGATTTGCCAAAAGGTTCGACTTGGTCTGGCTTTCTTTTGATGCTCTACAGAATCCGTTGAAGTAGGAGTAGATATTGAGCACACGACCCTTCTCTTTTTATGTAAAATCGAATCATATTAACACAGTCTGGTCATGTTGTTCGCAATGTCGAAAATGAGGCAAACGCGACAACTCCATCTCTTGCGCCATTACATAGCGCGAGAAACATCGGGACGTCAGCTTGGAGTCGCGTGGTGGCGTTTCGCTAGTTGTGTGCTCTCGTGTGTTTTCCTATTGGCCTGTGGCCTCGGGGGAGCCTCTGATGTTGTGGCCGCCACGCCAGGAAGAGGCCCTTTCGGAAGTGAAGCGGAAATCTCTTGGGTCGAAAGGTTGCGCAAAGCCTTCCGGATGCACAGTGCCACTTGCGAGGAGCCGTGTAACGCCACAATTGCAATAATGAAGGGTTTTGAGGCAAAGTACCAAATACCCGCCGACGCCATGTATCACTTTTCTAACACGCTTCACGCAGAGCTTGCGAACCTTGCCGTCGATCCAAGCAACAGTGCGCGGTTTTTGGAGAAGAGTACAGTCTCTGTCAACGATGCCCTGGATTACCTCCTCCGCCAAGCCCGCGTCCGCGACTGGAATTCTATAGTCAGTGATTGCCACAGTGTAATTTTTGACTTCGACAACACTCCCTTACGCGACAAAGTCTTCGTCGAAAGCAACCGAATCGTTTTGATGGCGCCGTGCCTCGGTACCAATTTTGTTTTCGCCACTTAAATTCTGTCATGTGAGATTCTTTGAGAGTTGTGGCGCTTCCTTATGTGTGGTGAGAAACGATGACTCGTCTGCGGGCACAGTACACTTAGACCTACACATTATGACTCGGATGCAAAATGCCTTTCTGTGGCTTTCATGGCGAAAGGATGGACCCGTAACGCCCAGCTTTCATATACAAATGTTTTGAATTTTCTCTTTCACAGAGTCAGCGACTAAAAACGGACGTGGTGCATGGGAGCAGCATTTTTTGGTTAAGGAAAAGAAAGGGCGAAACCTTGCAGAGGCAGTTGCCGAGCGGCATTGCCGTCTGATGAATTACATGTATGGCCCGGCAACGAGCACTAGTGACAACGAAACTGAGGAACACGGACATCGGGAGCCCGTCAAGTTTGGTGATCTGATGGACAGGACCCAAATGGCTGCGCGCCTGGAGGAGGCCGCTACAAGATGCAAACCAAGCTCCAGTGGGAAAAAAGCGGCTTCGCTGATACCGCCACGCGTGCTCTACACCGAACTCAGGGCTAGAGTGGACGACAGCGAGAGGATTCTGATTTCCCCGCTCTTTCCCGTTCACCCGGAAGACCGCGTCGTGGAGTTATGGACACGAATCGATGCCGCGCGAGACGCGTACTCACAAAATTTGGCGCGGTGGAATCAAAGACCGACAATTCCACGCCGCGAACCGCGGTCCCTGACCTTCACAAAAGCCCGCAATGGAGAGTCTGAACTGGGCGACTCTTTGAAGCTTTCCTTGCAGAGCAGTGAGGCAGAGAAGCGCAAAACCTTAACCGAGACACTAACCCACACCGATTCGAGAACTATGGCGAACCTTGTGTTTCCGAGCAATACCCTTGATGAAGCATTTCAGTCCCTTAGGCTCAACGGCGAAGTGGCTATTACCCACAGATTAGAAATTGACCTTCGTCCCAGCGTCTCAGGCACTCGCACCCGGGAAACCAAGGGAAGTGGCCCGCCACCACCACCGGGTAAGTTTGAATCTGATAGATGTGATCATGAGCATGATAAAGTAAAGTATTCGAGCAGATACAGAATAACAGCAGGCTAACTATGACAGATACGTGGCACAGAATCAGAATGTGAATATGTGGGGTTTTCATTATTTCCGCTGTCGCTTCTCTCTTCTGCTCATGTCGGGCAGCCCGGCAGCGTCGGGGCAAGAATGTCTGTATGACTATGACGAATGTCTATATTCACATTCATGCAAAAAACTCACACAGGCCCCGACGATCGCCCTCCGCCAGGTAGTGGCGGGGGTGGCTCCAGCAGGCCAAGTCAGGACACGCAGCGCCCTGCCGGGAGTCGGGGAACAAATGGCGGGGGCGGCGGTGCAGCAGGTGGAGCTAGTTCTACCTCAGATGCGGCACCCGGCGGCCGCGGCGGTCGTCGGGGTGGCGGGGTAAACGGTGAACTATCGGCCGCTTTCTTAAATTTTTTCGGCGTCGTAAAAGTGTTGCAGGCAAAAGGAGCAAGCAATAAAATTCTTCGTTCTTGGTGGAATGGCGCGCTGAGTCTATCGACACGAGATAAGTCGGAGTTCCAAGAGTTCCTGTCAAAGCTGGCTCCGCCAGTAAGTGACGTTTATACACGGGTGGAGTTTTTCACTCCTGGCGGAGGAATCGTCGCGACGCTGCAAAACTTAGTTCAAGGACACAGAATGGCAAAACAGGTATCTGAGCCTACTTTTTCATTTATGTGACTGCATGCGCATGAATGTATAGCTTTTCATCAGAATGAGCCACTGTATGCGGTGGTGGTGTAGGTACTACTTACGTTCTTGCCAATGGCGTTCGCACTGTGCGCTGCGTCGTTGCGAGGAAAAAGCAATGGGGAGAGCAACGTGTTCGAATGAATCCATATAGCAAGTAGCTGAGCAATACAAAAGCGCGTAATCCCACTGGATTCTACAGGGCGTGACCATCGCACCGATTCGCGATTTGGACGTAGGAGAAGGCGAAATGTGGTGCGTTGTGGCGTCGTGGGACGCAGGAGCGGATGCAGCGTTGCGAGACCAGCAGCAGGTGTTCGAGTATCTTTCGACCCATTTTGCAGCGACTGTGCAGTCTGTTCTTGTGACGCCCCAGCAGCGCGATAACATGGCGGGAATGTCTCAGGGCTACCTCCATTCCGCGGCAGCTGCGTTTGATGGCTTCGTTCGCTTAGCGATGCAGGACGGATCCGATGAAGAAAGCGGCGCCACTGCAACTGCTCTGCGGCTCTGGAAAGCTGTAGCGGACAGGGTACTAGATCTGCAATCGCAAACAGCTTTACGCGACCGCGACGACGACACCGATGGCAGGGTAGGCGAACATTCCCGCCTACCACCAGGAATTTCCAATGGGCCTAGTGTTGCAAGTACACCACGCGGCGCAGCATCATCTGCAGCGGCACCTGCGGCATCAGAGCCGGCTCCGGAACGCGGCGCTGCCGGAAGAAAGGATCCGAATTTGCCGTCTTCTCTACAAGAAATTTTGCAGAAGCAGTTGGGCCAAACGCTGTACAAGGGCTTTTTCTTGCCTTTGAGGGAGGAGCATCTCGAAAAGAATCTGGCGTTGCAGCCATTGGTAGCTGAACGCGTATTGCGACACTTGGTTCTCACCCTGGGTTCCCGCCTCGAGGACTTACCGGTGAGCAGAAGCAAGCGAAGGTTTACGCACGGCCAAGGATTCAGCCCCAGAAGGGTGTTTGAGCAAATCACCCAAGTCGCGCAAGTATGGCATGGAAAAGTCCGGAACACTTCACTTTGATTTTCAGCACACATAACTTTTTTTTTCACACACGGCTCTACTAGGTTGTGTGAAACTTGAAGCAGTGCTCACCTATACCTAGCTGCGACGTCGAGGCCGAATCGTGTATGCCGACCACGTTGGTCTATTTATTAAGTATGCACAGAGCTGGCCGCAGTTTCAATTTCAAGTGTATTCAAAATCAAGCAAGTGCGTTGACCTTTTCCGTGTGACAAAAAAACATATCCGTCGATGATTGGGAAAGCCGCCTCACCCGCTGCAAGCACATGATTTTTGATTTTGACATTTCGGGCCCGGAGCAAAGCAGTTTTGTGGAAAGCAGGCAGATGACTTTACTACCCGCCTGTGTTGGTATTGTTTGATAAGATACGCATTTGAATCGGACCGGGAGCCTTGTCTTTTGAAGCTGTTGGCTCACTTCTGTTGCTCAGCTTCATGCATTGTAGACTTAGACAGGAATAACGCTGAAGCCCCATAAAGGCAGATTATGCTGTTGCATGGCATCCGCAAGTGATTTTCCTTGTCACCTCGCAATAATTGAATCATCTACAGCTCAAACCGAAAAGTGGGAACAGACGTACCTTCCGGGAGACGCGGCTTCCCTGGGTGAGAAGAAGAACCGATATTGTCGCTTGCTTCACGTGATGTACGCGAAACGAACTGGAAACTCGGTTCCGCCGTCGGCTTCTGCTTTAGAAGGACAACGCGCTCGTGGTACTTCAAAGGTGCCGATCCGCTTTGAGTATTCGTCTGAGGAGCTCGACACGCGATTTCAAGAAGCGACGCGAGTCTGCGGACCTGGTACGAACGTTTATTTTCTTTGGAACTCGAGGCTGAAGGTGCTCGTGCATATCAACACAAGCTAGTTGCGGGCGTATTTCATGGCTGGTGTTACTCCTACTTAGCAATTGCATATACTACAAGCAGTGCCCTGAAACGATTGTGCCTACTCCTCAACATTTTCAAAATCCTCACACAGCCGATGCTAGTCACCGCGCACTGTTTTACGCGACGCTGAAAACCAAGCTTACTGCCAATGGAGCGCTAACGACCGTATCCCGAGCTCTTCCAGTGCTGGAACTGGACGTCTTGGGGGATCTACAGAAGCGTTGCGCGGTCGCTGTGGAAGGGTATTCGCAGCACGTGAACCGCAAACTCGCAGCAAATAGCGCGGAGCGGCGCCTAGTAGTAAGGAACAGGCCGGCGGACGCGTTCCGGATGTTGCTTTGGGAAAATAATCTCAACCTGAGCGAGGCGCGCGTGCAGGGTGGATTTTCGCCATGGATACGAATAGATCGGCTGCGCCGTGGGGACGACAAGGCAGTTTCTGCAATGTTCGGAGGGCAAGAGGAGGAGCCGCTTCAGACCGCCCTGTATAAAAAGACCTGCGACTATGTCAATATTTTCGAGAAACTCGCAGAACCCCGAGGCGGCGAAGAGACATTGCATGCCGCAGAAATAGAGCTGGTCCATATGACTGCCCGGCCAGCGCGGAGGTCAGGACCGTCTGGCGGAGGTAGACATACATATGTGTTACTAAGTAGATCATAGAACAACACCAACTGCTGCAGTTTTTGTTTCTGCATTTTGACGCCGGAAGTTGAGTATGGAAAACGCAAAGGAAGGCGACAGTAAAGCGACTTATTATACCCATGTAAGTAATTTCTTTTGCGTCGTTTTCTTCTACGGAGCCGGACCAGCTCCAAGGCAAGCTGCCCCGGGCGCAAGTGTGAAAAACGGCTTCCGAATTGGGACCTAAGTCAACGACACAAGCTACCAAATACAGGTAACGACGACGGCAACGACGGCGACAGCAGTGGTGGAAGCAATACAGATTCGGGCGCCGACGACTGGATGAAGCAGCTGCAGGGAAACGAATCGCTCTGGCTCGGCCGCGGACGTAGGCCGGATCATCCCCCTCAAGATAAGATCACCCCCCTCAAGTTTCCAAGATCACCCCCCTCAAGGGCATAGGGCTTAGGGCTTAGGGTTTCGGCAGTGTCGTCTGGGCCAGCCGTCGCGACGGCTGGCCCAGGCGATTCCCTTTTCCCCCTTCCTGTTCCGGGCCGAAGGCACGCGCCTCGCCGGCCCCCCCCCCCTGTGTTTGATTGTTCCCCCCCCCCTTTCCCCCTTCGTTGGTTTGCCGTGACCCCGCCCGGGGGGGCACGCTCACTGTGCCGCCTTTGTTGCCTCGGGAGGCGAGGCGTTAGGCGCTCCCGGGCTTCCTCGGGTGGCTGCCCGCCTGTGGCACATCTTGAGCCAGGAAACCTATTGGAAGGCCTTCCGGCAAATACCAACGCCGCCCCGCCTTGCCCCCGGTCTGCCTGCCGCCGGCCCGCCTGCCCTTGTCCCCCCCGTAGCCTGGCTGCCTGCCCCCGGCCTCGCTCGTTGCCCCCTACCTTCCTGCCCCCGGCCCGCCCACCCCCTGGCCCCCCTCACCCCCCCCTGCATCTTGAGGGGGGTGATCCTTGGGGGGATGATCCTGCCTATGTCCCTCGGCCGCAGTCAAGGTGGACGAAAGACCACCTACTCTTCTGGGCGGTCTGGCGGTTCCGGGGGCTCTTTTCGTCGCACGGCCTCGTCCGGTCCTTCTTCACGGTTTTGCCGAAATATGAGTCGCGATGAATCGCTCGATGTGTTTTCGCAGGTCCAGGCGGGACCGAAAGCGAAGGCTCCGGCAGGCTCGCCGGCCCGGTCCCCTTCTTCCATGCGCCGACGCCGCTCCCCAAATCGCAAATCATCTCGTTCAGGTTCGAGGGACCGGTCGGCCGCTGCATCATCTGGCGCGAGCAGCAGTGCCAGACCGACCACCACGACCTCACAGCCGCATGGGGCTTGCGGCCAACAGTCAAAAACAACCGGCGCTGCCCCGCAAGGCATTCGGGCCGGCTTCCGTCCATCACCGTGTTCGCAGTGTGGACACGACCTGAAATTAGTTGGCCAGTCGAACTGCCCGGCCTGTATCAAACATTGGGAAACGCTTGATCGCGTTATGCGAGGAGAGGGTCGTCCACGGGCGACACCACCGGAAGCCTCGGCTCTGGGTACGCCCACTTGCGCGGCACCGCAACTTGTGCCAAACGCCCCGCAGATTGTTGTTTCAGCCCAGGCGGAAGTCCCGGACGGTACTACAGTTGGTGCAACGCCATCGGTTCGTCGTTCTGACTCCCCGCACCATATTCCTGTCCAGACCCAGAGCACGCGTCTGCCAGCTTCACGCCGTGATGCCCAGACTCAGGTTTCAGGTCCCTCTGTGGCCCCGGCCGCGGAAGCTGCTCCGACGGAAGAAACGCGCCGCACGCGCCTGCCAGTTTCACACCGGAATGCCCAGACTCAGGTTTCAGGTCCCTCTGTGGCCCCGGGCACGCGTCTGCCAGCTTCACGCCGTGAGGCCCAGACTCAGAGTGAGACAGCCCCCCCTGTGGCCCCGGCCGCGGAAGCTGCTCCGACGGAAGAAACGCGCCTTATCACCCACGAGCCACAGGCACAAATCATTCGGCGTGGACAGTTTCAAGAGATCAAAGACCTGGTCGCGCAGAATTTCGCAGGGCTGTGGGAAAGACGGGCGGCACCACAAAAGTTCATTGCCGCTGTAGCACTTCTGGCTGTCATCGCCGCGTTCGCAATGGCGCAGACGCAGATTACCGCAATGCACGGTCTTGGGTCCGTATTCAAATGAAATAATTGTGTGCTGTTTCCCGCGGATTTTAAAGCCGGCTCTGTGAACCAAGTTGCAGGACCTAGTTTTGCATTGAAGACCTTCTTGTTTGCACATGCATGTGCATCGTACTTCTTTGGCCAAGAATTGTCTTTTGCATTGACTTCTATCTTCCGAAGAATGTTCATCTAGCCAGACCAGGCACGACCCGAAAAATTTGTCCGATTCGGCTTTGAATGATTCCGCGAGAGGAAACGGTGTTTCATTTCGATACCCCGCCATGCGAAATCTGAGTCTTGGTACCGATTCGGCCGCACGGACTCCTGAAAGCGAGACAAGCAAAATACGGGTGCAGCAAGACCACGGCCCACAAACCGCATCCACATCCAGTATGGCGCACTACTGCCTCAACAACGGAGCTTCGGCTGCGCGTCATTGCACCACTGTCGGAAAGCGGCAGCCGTCGTGCTGTAGTTTCTCGGAAACTGATCTTCAGCAGTCGAACAACATGACGATGGTGGTCCCTACCTCGTGCGAACCGGGGATCTGGTCCCACCTCGTGGACGTCATCACCGAGGAGGTGCAGCGGAAAGCAGCCGATGCGGGAACCGAGCGCGCCATTACGAACGGTGTGGCGCTCTACGGGCTCTCACCCTGCGAGATACGGGTTGAAGGAGAGCATTATGTCCTGGAGGCCGAGTTCTGTTCACCGGAGGGCCACCGTCAGGTCGCGTTGTGCCCAGATCCCGGGCACGGCGAAGCGGCCTGCGTGCAGCGCCGTGGGGCCGGGGATAAGTGGGAGGTCGATGAAAAACTCACCCGCAACTGCCGTACCAGAGAGATGAACAATTTGGTGGCCGGGCTCTCGCGTTTGTCCATCGACAGACCAAAAACATGCTCGCCGGACGGGCTGCTGCATGCAGTAGACGAGGGGGAACAAAAGCCCGATGAGAAAATGCGCAAGCGGGTACTGGAAATGTTCCGGGGAGTGGCGGAGGACATCTACCTCCACTACGTCGCGCCATTGGTTTACGGCGGAAAACTACCCGCGTCTGCCGATGTCCGAAAACGCGGCGTGCACATGACCCTTGCGCGGAAAGAGAAGGCGATTTGACGAAAGGAGCTCAAGAATTGGTGAGGAGTGGCAGTAGACTACGGAAAGACTGATGAGGTCGGGCTCCGACTTGAGTATTAAAAAGAAGAGTTCTCGGTTGTATGGAAAATGCTAACGAACGATCTTTGCGCGAGTCTCGTTGTTGCTGCGCGTAGTCTCACAGCGCAACAAACCTGCTTGGAAATGCAAGTGCATCTAGAGGAACTGCTGTATGTAAAGCAGCAGACGAATTACAGTAAAGTAAGAAGTAGCCTGATCATTACAGTAAAGAAGTAGCATCAGTTTGAATTTTTTGAGACACACAGTGAAGCCTTCGTCCTTAGGTTGGGTTTAGTGATAGGCTATGTAGTGTCTCTTTTTCAACATTTTAAGCCGCCACTATGGCTCAAAAACAAAATCAGGCCTGTAGAAGTGGGCTGATATGATGTATGAAAATATGATTGTGATCCCGTGCGTTTGGTTTAACGAGTAAAGTAGTTCTGTCCAGATGATGTCCATTGCTGTCTTGTTTTGTTACTGGGAGGGACATCCGAGACACGCGCGCCGTACCTGATGAAGAAGTATATGTTGACCTATTGAAGTTTGAAACGAGTACTTAGTTCGACGAGATCAAGCACCATACCGACTGATGTAAAAAAGCTCTTTGGATGAACGGAAACGGTGGGATCCAGTCCTTGATTGGCGTATTTTTTGGGACTAGCAGAAAGATTTTGCGACGGAAAGAGTATGTTTTTTTCAAGTAGAAGTAGCCACAACCTTATTTATACAACATGGAATACTCGCATCAAGCACTACGGCACATCTGAGAAGGTCTGTATACACCCCCAGCTTAGAGTAAAGATTTGTAAGATTTACATGTAGCAGTACAAGTGTATCCACGTGGTGGTGCAGTTCCTTCCTTCTGAAAGAGTAAAAGTTGAGTAAAAGTAAAAGAGGACTAAGATTACAAGTTAGCGAACAAAAGTAAAAAAGAACATATGAGGTTTGGTAAACCAACCAGCGCATATTGCTGATCTTGTTGTTGTTTTGAAAGGTTGAAAGAGCGTAGACGACGACCAAAGGGTCGAAGGGTATGTACGATCTCAGTTTGTTCCATGATCAAAAGTGACAGCCCGCTACGGCGGTCCCGGTACCCGGGACAACATCGGAAGCGCCTCCCAACTTGAACTCCCGCGTTATCGAAATAAATGCGAGGAGCGGCTTGTTCCACCTGGCGTTCAGTTTCACGTCTGGAGAAGTTCTTACTGTGCAGAGATCCGTGGATGGCGACGGTTTCTCTCCGGTTTTCGTCCAGCCGGGGTAAAAGTGCTGCTACCCCCTGCTCGCATATCAAAATACTACCTGCTCCGATAGCGTTCAATCGTGATGTTCCTTGCGTCAGCCGCGGACTGTGCCGTTCTTCTGCTTGTTTGATAATTGCATGTAGAACAAGTTCGTTCTCTGTTGCTATATGTTGCGTCAGGACTGGCGCAGCGTCGCTGAATTTGTCGTTGACGCTTAGGCCTAGAGTAGAGTAGAAGTGCAAGTCTTCGACCTTGTCGGACTTCCGGTTTGTTCTTAGCTTTTCACAAATATGAGAAAATGGCATTGTTGTAGGCGAGGCTGGTGCAGGAGGTCGAGGTGGAGTTTGGCGAAAAATTAATAATACGCAATGGGCGAAGACAACGGGACCTACGAATCGGCGGCTTCTTGAGGAGGATGCCAAAAGAAACTACTTCCCGATGGTTCAATAAAAATGCGCTGGGAGTTGTGCTGGTCCGAAGAGCACATGATAATGATCCATTGTGATCGACATAAAGGCTCCCCTTTGGTTTTTCGCTTTTCGCGTTTCGCTTTTCGGAGGCGCTTCCGCTGTCTCTCTCTTCTTACTCTCCTAGGTCTCTACTGCCCCCCTTTGGTTTTTCGCTTTTCGCGTTTCGCATTTCGGAAGCGCTTCCGTTTTCTCTATAGTTAACTTGACAGATCTGCAATCTCTTTTAGGAAATTAGGTGAATCACGGTGGTGCTCTGCTTATTTGGGCTCCTCCCTTGTTGTTGTGCTTTGTCGCATTGCAGAATCTACGGCGCGTAAAATTGTATGTTGTAGGCACCAAAGAACAACTTGAATCGACTTCGAAGCTCTGCCACCCCTCGACTTCGATTCGGGGGAATTCAAGGAAGGCATCTTGAGCACTGGCTGGCTTTCGATACCTTCTTTGTGCATGGATATGCAATTTTGCACGCGGTGAACCTTTTCTGCAGGTTTTCTGTCATTTGGGTTTTGCCTAAGGGGACGAAGCCAAGCGCTTCACACAGCACGCAGTTTCTAGAAATGACTCGAGCCCGAGGCATTTTGGGACAAAATTGGCTAGTCGATGGTGGAAGTGAATTCATCAACACATCCTTCCTCGAAATGGCATGCCTGTACAACTGCACAGTGTATGTCTCGCCTAGATCCGCTCACTGGGTCAATGGCGTCTTTGCTCAATGGGATGGGCCAAATACCGCAATGAGCGACTTTGCTCTTTGGGTTGGATTCAGTGCCGCCTTGATTCCTGCATCTGGGGGCAGTCAGGGGTGATTGCTTTAATCTTCGTGGACAACTTTTACTTCTTTGGGGCGCAGGAGGACATAAACGCTGTCTATCCCGAAACTGCGATGGCTCTCACGCTTGTCGCTGAGCCAGCACAAGAAACCGCAACAGAATTCGTTTACGACATTCTGTCAATTTCGGTTCATCTGGGGAAAAATGGCCGCCTTTGACGAAATTGGAAACCGCATGGAATCACGCATGGATCATTAAACCGCATGGAAACCGCATGGCAGAAACGAAGTTACAAACCAGGCAGAGTCAACATATTGATTACGTTTTTAGGTCGTATTTATGGTAAGTACAAGTAGCATCTCATCGTGTTTAGTGCCTATCGTTTATCGTTCATCGTAAGTAGGCACCTATCGTTTTTCAAATCGCAAACTTCACATCGTATTTCGCATTCGCTTTTCGTATATCGTTCACATCTTCACGTAGATTCTCGTTGCATTTCAAAACATCAATTCGTAGGCTTAAGTAGAATTTCAGCGTCTTTCAGGGATTTTAACATTTATTTTCAGGGTTATTTTCACATCATCTCAGCACTTAATTTTGTATAATTGCATTCAAAAACGCAATGCAAATTTCACATCATAGCATCGAGTTTGGTACTACAAACATTTATCTTTTACCTAAGGAGTTGTCGCAATCGACAATAAAAATAGTCACTATTTCTTCTGATCCAACTGTTTAATTTTACTAGTTTCCAGAACGCATTCGCCTACGCTTTTGATCCTAGGAGAACTAGTAGCCGCACCGCATGACATTCGGAGTAGGAGGGGATGTAAGAATCATGTCGGTTCGAACTCCAAAACCTCCCGATCGGTAATCCGTTCGTATATACTCCGAATAGTCATCGGTCGTACATCAATCGCTTTGCTCTCGTCGGTATCGTACATAACTAGCTCGTGCGCACTTGCTACCTATCGTCGACGTATACTAGTACTAATGCCACTAAATCTGCATGCTATCGTGACTACAACATTTGACATGCACATCATACCAGGCGCCTTGAGTCAAGTGACAATTTGCATTCCCACTATTAGCATCGTAGTTTGACCGTCAATACGGTTTACCTTTTGGGGGGTTGAAGTGTGTTCGACATTTTCCCGACAAAAATTGTATGTTGTAGGCACCAAAGAACCAACCACCCCCACGCTCCGGCGCGTAGCGGTTATTTACTGAATTTTGTGGGAAATTGTCAGCGCGGAATGAAAATTGCGACTGCTCCTGCATCGGGTGTGGCGGAAAGTTTGGCTGCCCTTGCTGCATCGCAGCGCCGGCTGCGGCCGTTCCAAAAATCCCTTGCGCCGCCCCGTTTTGTTGTTGCTGCGCGCGCTGGAGGAGCGGCCCGAGATGTGTGACAAGGTCCTGCATGTTCAGGGTAACTTGTTGCCCGTGGATTACTGCGCGCCCCGGCTCCACGTGAACTCCTTGCTGTGCAGGTATTTGCTGCTGCGGTGCAGGATGCTGGTAGGGAGCTTGTCCCGGAAAGGCCCCACTACTGCTCGCTGCAGCAGCTCCTTGCGTGCCGCTTCGTCCCAATAGCCCGCGCCCGCTTGTTCCTCCGTGCTGCTGCTCAAGCGGATCATTTGTAAAGCTGTTCTGCGACATGTGAACGCTTTGGTTGCTGCTCGGGCTTGGATTAGCGCCACCCGCGCCCTGGTACCGGTAAGGCTGGAACTGTTGGTCTTGTTCCCACTGTTGCTGCTGTCGGTACTGGGCCTGGTTCTGGTGCACCCGGTCCCAATTGTATCGCCGTCCGCTCATGTTGAAAATGGGTTTTTTCTTACTTGTATTTGTGTGCATTATTCAATCGCGAAAGGGGTAAAAAAATTTGTAGTACGTAAGTGTTAAAAGTTTGGTCCTATGGCTAGGTCCGGCTGATGCACCAGTTGTACGAAAGTACTACTTGGACACGGACCGAACTACGCACACGAAAATAGACTCTTGTAACAAAACCAATGCATGAACGAATCGTGGAACATCGATGGGCATAGGGGTGCAAAATAAAATGGTTGTGAATTCACATAGTATCTTCTCCTTTAGCAACTTCCGCATGTTCTCTGTAGGAATTTGCTCAACCTTGAGCCAAAGTGGCTACGTTAAAAAGGTTCATCCATGCAATACAAACTTCAACAACCTCAGATCTGTCATGCTGGTGGCCTCTCCGCACACAAATGCCGTAGAGAAGCTTCTTGTGAGATCTTTTAGATCACGCGCATTACAGATTTGCATCAATTTGAAGAGTGTGCTGGTCTTTGAACGTCAGTGCATTTTAGGAACCTAGTGCAAAAGCTTAGCGGAGAGCGAGTTCATTTGTGGTCTTAGTTCGATCTGATTCCGAAGTCCTTATGCATACACGGTGCGTAAAATTGTATGTTGTAGGCACCAAAGAACCACTGCACAAGGAACCACTCCCTTGCGCAGAAGCTAAAATTAGAGCAGAACCAGCAGAAGTCGCTGGAGAATTTGAAACTCACCATCAAGCACTATGCACTGCAAAAATGTCTGGGTCTGGGAGATTGCGAGACTTGTCATGCTAGTCTGGCATAACTCTGAGTCTGAACTCTGTCTTGCGTGTCCGCGAAGAGGTCCTCTTGTCTGTCATGCAAAAACGCAGTTTCTCAGGCGCGGCACGCATCTCTGAACTACGGAAAAACTTGTCATGCTAGGGGGCGCATGACAGTGTGCTCACTATTTCCTTTCTTGCATCACAAGTTTCCAGACATCCAGAGATATTTGCAGTTCATAAGCACCAGCAGGACACAATAAAGCACACGGAGGAGGAAAAGAGGGATTTAGAGAAGTACATCAGCAAATTTC